ATGAGAAATCTAATGACAGTATTTTCTCATTTTTTACAGTATTCTATGTTTTCACTGTGGAAGCTTGTCAATATATCCTTTACTTTCACAAGTTTTACCACAAGTTTAGATATGAGGTTTTTTTTAACTTAACTTTGATCAGCATTTGACAAATTTTTAAAATCTGAACACATGAATCTTTTTTAAAAATCCTGCCAAATTGCTAGTCATTTTATTTTAAGGTATTGCTCACCTACCATTCTATTTTTTTTCCTCCTGAAAATATGTAGTCTGTCATTTCTTTTCTATTTTTTTTTTTTTAAATTTTTAATTTTTTTAACATTTATTTATTTTTGAGAGAAAGAGAGGCAGGGAGCGAGCAGGGGAGGAGCAGAGAGAAAGGTAGACACAGAATTTGAAGGAGGCTCCAGGCTCTGAGCTGTCACCAGAGCCTGACAGGGGGCTTGTACTCATGAATCACAAGATCATGACCTGAGCTGAAGTCAGATGCTTAACCGACTGAGTCATCCAGGCACCCCATCTTTTATATTTTGTTTTTCTTATATCTTGGTGCTGGGGGCTTTCCTCAGTTCCGTCTTCCTTCATTACTTTACTTTTCATCTATATTTTATCTGCTATTTAGCCCATCTTCTGAGTTTTTTAAATGTAAAATATAGTTTTTATTTTTAATATGTCTGGTTATTTTTCTTAACTACTAAGTTATTGTGTGTGTTTAATCACCTATTTTTATTTGTTGATTTCCTCTTTTATTTCTTTGAACATATTAAATGTATTCATTTAATATCTTATTATACTAAGATAGCAACTAGATGTTTTCTTTCTTCACCAGAGAATATAATGAGAAGAGAAAATGAAAACTGATTTGAGGGCTTCTGTCTTTATCATGTAAGGGAGATGAAAGGAAAACTTTTTATAGATTTTTTTTAGGATTGTAAAAATAGGATTGTTCTCACAGGCCAGAACAATGACTACATGAAATCAAATTCCTTCTAAAAAAAAGAAAAAGAAAAAGAAACCCCTGTGGCTGCTTCTAGTATTTCATAAATATAATCTTGTCATCTATTCTAAGAAATTCTCTTAAAACACACAAAATTTTGGGGTGCCTAGGTGGCTCCAACTCTTGGTTAAGCATCCAACTTGTTTTTGGCTCAGGTCATGATCTCGCCATTTGTGGGTTCAAGCTCTGTGTCAGGATCCATGCTGGCAATGCAGAGGTTGCTTGGGATTCTCTCTCTTTCCCCCTCTCCCTCTGTCCCTCTGTGCCTCTCTCTGCCCCTCCCTTGTTTGTGCTGTCTCTCTCTTTCTCAAAATAAATAAATAAACTTAAAAAAATAAAACACAAAGTTTGAGCATAAAGATACCCAAATACTCTTCCATTTATACATGTTTAAAAACTAGAATTATCTTGTGGATTCACTCAAATGATACTTAAAGACTCAAACAAAATGGGAACATGATTGTTATGATGTCAAAAGAAAGAGGTAGGATAATAAACTGCATAGATTGTTAATGCAAATACTGGAATAATGCATAGAAAAAAGACTGAAAGGAAATTCACCAAATATTAACTGTGATTGGTTTAGAGTGATTTTTTTTCCTGTATACTTTGCTGACAATTTTTCCTATAATTTTCTGTGATGACTGAATTGAAAAAATCAAGGAAATAGGGGGAGAAAAATCAATGGTGTAGTATTAGCTGCATGATTTAACTTACGAGTTGTTCAAATCAATTGAGATAGGGTATGTGAAAGCATGTTGTAAACTATAAACTGAAGTAGTAAGCTAAATTATTGTTATTAGCAATAACTGGAGGGTAATATAATTCATCTTTTGAACTCTTCATATAGAGAGCTCTCTTTCCGGTCAATTTCATCTAATTTATTTTTGTCAATACAAATGGGGTACCAAAACACTTGGAAAATCTCCCTGAGGATAATAAACTATATTACCTTTTTTGTTATTGCTTTGAACTCTTACTGTGATGATAATGAACAAAACCCCTTACGTTGGCTTTACCTCCTGCTCTTATACCCAGGCAGCAGCAGTATCCCCCTCAAAAAAAAAAAAAGATAAAACTATTGAGATTTAAAATACAGTCTTACAACTTTCTCTAAAAGGTGAGTTAGTTAAATCATGGGCGAAGAAAATACCAAATTTACAGGAACAAATGTGTGCTTATTAAGCAACACATTAACTGCAAGTGATTTCATATGTAGATTATCTATAATTTGAATGCAATTTTCTAAATTTTTTTAATGTGAGTAGTTTCAGAGTCCTTTGGTGTTTAATAACATGTGCTATTATTAAGACAGTTGTTAAAGTGCAGATGTTTTGTTCAGTGCCTGATCCTTTCAAGATACTGCCCAGGAGAATGTTATTACTTAAAACTGAACTGTGTCTGCGCCTCCTGGCTTCCTTCCTCCTCAGAACAAATTATGTGTCTGATGCTTTGGTAGGCAGGAGATACAGATCCATCCTTGGGTTGTATGGAGTCTAGTCACACAAGTATTTGAGTGTCTGGTATGTACCTAGCCCTATCCTGAGAATTTTAGGATTCCCAAAGGAAAAATACTCCATGTACTGAAGAGCTTTTAAGTTCTTACCCTCTTGAATGATGTTTTTCTGACCACTACATAATAGCTTATTTGGACTACCTACCTGGCTTCTGAAAGAGGAATTGAGAATAGCCAGAATCAGTCAGCTTCTTTCCATCCAAGACTAGGAACCCATCTACACTGAAGAAAATCCAGGTGTCAGAAAATAGATTTAAAATAAAAGGTACTAATTCTGCCACAGAGTTTTAGAATTGTGATGTGTTCAATTCTATCATTTTTTAATAAGCTAATGCTGTTTTGCCATATTTTCTTATGGTCATCTCAGATATGCAGACACATGGGATATATAAATTCTGATTAGACAATGAGCAGAATAAATGGATGTGATAATAGCTAAACCAGTAGAGGCTGTTCTTTATTTTGTGTAAATTAATGTCCTCTGAAAGGATCTCCCATTTATTTTTTAAAAATGATTTATAAGGCTTATAGTATGGGATTGCCAAAACTTCACAATGGTGAAGTAAATGTTATTTATTTAATGTTAATTTTATAACCTCTTGCATTTATACTTGTATAGTTTTATGAAAGTTTAGTATAGCGGTTTATCATAAGAGGACACTTCTGTGGACATTCTAAGTAAAACAATTCTAAGACTAGTTTACTAATCAAGTATTTCAGAAGTCATGTTAGAATGTGATTTTAGAATGGGACAGTTTGGAATATAATTCTAAATCAATTTTTATGGATTAAAAATATGAGAGAAAAATCATGTAACATCATGTTATTTGGAGGAGACAGGGCTTGCTTATAGGGAAATGAGAAACTCCATTTTGCATTTCTTAAACCCCTATCTTTCCTCCATGCCCTTTAGTCACTACACTACCCTTTTGCCTTTCCCTGATCCTTTTCCTGTCCTATAGAGAATTTTGTTCAAATAGTATTCTTGAAGAACGTCATAACATTATGTGTACCCCTGGCCCACTGCAAAATCAATCTAACCTACTCCAACTGGCTTCTCATTGCTGCTTGACAATCTTGATATTGATCTCCCATTTATTCCCCAGCACACTTCCCTTAGAAGGTGCTTCAGATCTCTCTGCTCACACATCTAATTCGCTACTTACCCTTTCCATTCTCACCAGATACTATCCATCCAACTTTACTGAGAAATTTAAAGATAACTAGTGTTCTTTAATTTTTCCTTATCTCTGCCTTCAAGCAGCAAACTTTTGAGTATCAACCATGTGCCAGGCTCTATGCTTGTTCCTGGCACATAGTAGGTGCTCAATAACTGTTGAAATGAATGTATGTGTTGATGAAAAGATAGGTCTAGGGGCTGAGCTACTTTACGTAGAACAGAAGGAAAGAAAGGAACGGCACGATAGATAATTGTGACCTTGGATCTTCTTTCTTAGTAAAGAAGGATGGCTTCCTATTGCAAAGAAAGAGGCACTTTTTTTTTTTTTTTTTTAATTTCCAGGGCTAGACTCTTCTTACCATTCCTTTCTGCTTCCTGTATGAAACTGATTCAACTCTCTCAAAGAAGGACAACTTCACTATATCCAAACATACCTCTCTGAAACCCATCACCATCATCAATAACTAAGATTCTGACCCTAATGACTATAACCATCCCATTTTCATACTTACCTTTGGTATAAGTGCTCTGCAATTACTATATTATATTTAGTTCATTGTCACCCATATTGCCCTTTTGCATTCATTTTGTCTGTTTTATTATTCCCATTTATACCAAATAAAATATTGCCTTTTTTAAAAAATCTCACCTATTTTTTAAGACTTATCTCTCACATCAAGCCTTTTCTGGCCCCTGTAACTGGAAGCTCTCTTGAGAGAGCCAGCATTGTCTGTGCTGCTCCTATGATGTATATCTTAACCTGCTTTCTAATTCTATGCAATGCCGTGGGTTTCATTTCCCTCACATAATCAGGGTTCAATAAATATTGGTTGAATGAACATTGGTAAATTGAATAACTTATATGGGGATGGCAAAAGAAACAAATGGTTAATCCTTTTACAAATAAACTTTTTTTAAAAATCACTCTACTACATAATTCATTTTAAATGCTATTTCTATCCATGTCTTGCCACTCCAGTGAATGAAGATGAAATTGTCAGCAATTTGGCCAGCTTCAGTTTTAAGCTAGCAGGATGTTATTAGAAATGATGATTGTGATATAGCCATAGTTCCCTGCATTCATTGTGGGAGGAAACTAATGCTTTATACCATATATGTTACTAAAGTCTGGATTTCTCTAATGAAACTTAAAGGAGAGGCACCTCTATAAGACTGGTTTATAAACCAATTCCAAGGTGGATTCTGAAGACCACAGATGGGAATTTTTGGTTTGTTTTCAAACGGTTCTGATATTCTTCATTTTGTCATGTTTTTCAGCTGCTACTGGTTATCCCTGCACTTTATCAAATAACATCCCCATTTCAATTGAGAATGAAGAGGTTCTTGGATAAAGAACTTGTAAAAATCAGGTACAATAATAAAGTCATGGATGATTCTCTGAATTTACTAAAATGAAATGCTGCCTATAAGTGCAATATAAGTACAACATCTTAGCCATATAAGATCATTATCATAAAGTAATCATCATGATTAAAAAAAAAAAAACCCTAATTGAATCATTATTCTTTCCAAAAGATCAGAATTCTAAGAATACTTCTCAGAAGCTCTCAAACTTAATATGGAGCAGGAAATATTGCAATGAGTCCTCAAGAGTGAGAAAAAAAGAAACAGTTGTGCTGTTCTTTCATTGTGCTTTTTAAATTTCATTATTCTTAACTATATAGTACTTAAGTGTGGTGAAGAATGTAGTCAGAGGGGAATGTATCTGTCAGCTTATTAGTATATGAAAAAGAATAGAAGTAAAAACAAAATAAGCATACTCAGTAGGTTATCATACTTCATAATTAGAACTTGAGCTATATATTCCCTTTTGAAACAAGTATAACAAAACAATAAATAAAAATTTCAAAGTGTGTATTTATGCCATAACTAAATAAAAGAAACTTGTAAGGAAATGAATAAAGCTAGATCTGTGATTTCTTATTTTTACTCCCTGAACATTACCAACAGCAAAATAATGCCCAAAATAGGCATATCATTTTGTAGCTGTATCTACAAGGACACAAATGATATTCTAATATTCAATCAGAAATATTACATATGTAAAAGTTACAGAAATCTAACACTAAACTTTCTGGTAGTTAAGATTTTAGTAGATTTTGTATTTTGTTACAAAATGTTTTGAGAAAGCGGAAGACTGGGTTCCTTTTAGACTTTAAGAGTTTCAATCTGGTCGGTGAGATAGACCATGCCTTTGAGATAAAAGTAGTCTTTGGTTAAGTATAAAATTTTTTTGGTCTGGTCAGTATAAAATTTTTAAATAATGTATAGAGTTTGAAAGTACTATGGATACCAAAAATGAAAAAGAAATTATAGACAACTCAATAAGAAGATGTTTGTTTAAAGGATCTATTGAGCTTGATTTTCCACCCACCAGATTAAAAAGTAAAAGGCCTAATTTTATATAATTATGGATTATATTTTAAGATGCTTTAATTTAGTCATTCTGTTTTTCAGTCTTCTCATATCTTGACATTGACTTCCATATTGACCTAAGTAAGCTACTACATCAGGAATAGTCTGATGTAGTAAGCCTTAGTGCCTTAAAACAAGACAAGTATGTTTCTTGCTCCTGTTACATGTACATCATTAGTTGGCTGGGGACTCTCCTGTACATTATCCTCATTTAGAGACTTTGGCTAAGGAAGAGGGTCTACCTCCATTCTTTCACAATTACTGTGAAAAAGGAAAAGGAAAATGTAAAATAAGCACAAAATATTAAAGCTTCTCCCTAAAAGTGATGTTTGTTACTTCTGGTCACATTACTTGACTAATGCAAAGGATATGGCCATGCTAACTTCAAATGGGATCAAAAATGATAATCCACTCATGTGCTCAGAAGGAGAAAAGTCTGACATATTTAAGACACTAATGAGTTCCACATTCACCTAGAAAGGATTGGAGATGTCAACTCTTTTAATTCATTCTCTGTTCAAACCAGATTTGAGTGTTGCTTCCTTTACTAGTTGTAGGACGAGAAAGATATCAATGGATGATAACTTTCTTCAAGGAAGAAATGTAAAAGAATATTATATGCAGCATTAGGATAAACTTTATTCTTCACTCATTTGTTTATGGAGTCATGTCTTCTTTTGCCCCAAAGGAGGCTATAATTTGTTAGGAAACATAGGTCTAGGCTCCATGAAACAACTAGAGGATGAGGCAGACTATCATATCATTCCAGTGAATGGTTATAGGCCACAAAATAAAATAAAAAAGGTAGGTGACATTAAGGAAAAGATCAGTGTTGAGTGAGTTAAGAAAATTTCCTTAAAGAAGATATACCATTAAATGAACATGAAATATTAGATTTAGGTTGATAGAAAGAAGCAAATAAGTTATTTCTATTAAGAGATACAGCAACTAAGAAGCCAGAAATAAGAATGAGCAAGGAGGAAGGAGAGATGAGACTTGCTCAACTGGAGTAAAAGGTGAGATTAAAAGTTGAAATGACACATTGGAATTAGTTTTCTGTGAATTTGAACACCAGGCTAAAACCTTTATATTTGACCTGATGGGAAGTAGTAAGAAACTGTGGATTCAACCAAAGTCAAAATAAAAGAGTGTTTTGAATTGTAGGAGTTTTAAGGGTACAGCTGAAGAAAAAATTCTGAAAAAGTTATATTTTGTTACAAAAATGTTTTGAGAAAGCGGAAGACTGGGTTCCTTTTAGACTTTAAGAGTTTCAATCTGGTCGGTGAGATAGACCATGCCTTTGAGATAAAAGTAGTCTTTGGTTAAAATTTTCAAGTATAAATTTGGTCACTCATGAAAACTCTCTAGAGATAGTTAAGAAAAATTAAGTCAACTATCCAAAAATGTTTTGGTTATTCTACCTGGAGATAAGAGATTGATTTAACTTATGTTACAATGATTAAAAAGACTCACACATATATCATAAAATATAAATATGTACATGTGCTACCTAATAAAAGAGCATACTGTGTTTTCAAGTTATGAAAAAATAAAAATTCATTTTATCCTATTAGTTAAAGGGTGAACTATAGTTTCGTAGGAAAAGCATGGTCTTTGAAAGGAAACATCTGGGTTCACATCGAGGTCTGCAACTTGATAGAGAAGTAGAGAAGGTTAAACTACTCTAGCTTCTAGAGCCTTAAATTCCTCACCTATAAAATGGCAATAATAAGGGTACCTAACTGGCTCACCCAGTAGAGCATGTGACTCTTCATCTTGGGGTAGTGAGTTTGAGCCCCATGTGTGGGTAGAGTTTACTTAAAAGTGTTTTTTAAATAAATAAATAAATAAGCAATAATAATTGGATCTACCTTAGAGTTGTCAATAAATAATGAAACGTATATAAAGTAGCTATATAATAGGTATAGTAGGAGCAATGGCAATAATTATATATAAGCAATTACTTAATATTATTGAATTCAGTTTAATGAAAATTTTCTATTTATAAAGGTTATAAAATTAATAAATCCTAATTTATTAATGGTTTACTGACTAAAATTTACCCCATAATTTTATTTATATTCTAGAAATAAGTAAAAAGAAGAAATATAGAAAAAAATAAAATTTAAGTCAGAAAATACTTAAGAAAATTTCTTAAGTGTTCATGATCCTTGATAGATTTTATTCTGTTCAACAGATGGCCACACCAAAGGCAGAAACTTTCATCAGTGACTATTCCCTAAAACTGTTTGTGGTGAACAGTGCAAACCTATTTTTCAGATGAGGAAGCTACACAAAGTAAGTAGCACCCAAGAAGTTAGTTGAAAATACAGTACTTTAACTCACGTCATTTGGTTTATATCACTGCGTTGACTTTGTTGTTCCTCAGTAGTTTTATAGGACCTTGCCTTTTAGAGGAAAAGTTATGGTTATGAGTGTGTCAGTCTTCAACTGTACCCCAAGGACCACATTTAGCCAACCTAAGGTCGCCGAGGATTTGATCACTTTCCAAAATTGTACTCCTGGTTCTTTCCCATATCTGCTCCATACACTGAGTATAGGAGACCTGAGAGTATGCTGATAAATAAAATGAAAATGACAAAATAAAATAGAAATGCATATTTAACAGCCTTAAGGTATTAATCATGAAATTTTAATTTGAATGGTCTTAAATTAAAATTACTAAATTTTAATCTGAAAAAAAATATATATATGCTATTGGGGCCTTTGAGTTAATTGAGTAGTAAGGTCTGATACTTCCTCTAACTGGTTAGAACAGTGCAGTGCGGTGCTAATATTTTTAGTCTGAGCAGTTATGAAAAAATGAACACTGGTAATCATTCTCCTGAAGTATTTATTTTGGTCGTTCCTTAAGAGATAGTTCAGAATTTCTGCTTTAGTAGAGAATCATCTACCCCATTACCACTTTGGCATCACTTAAAATGGAGTGTGTATGTGTGTGTGTTTAGAAAAAATCACTTAAGGTGACAAAGTAAATTCTTTGTTACTCAATTAGAGCAGGTAAGTATATGTGAAGGGACTTTTGGACAAATGCATTTGACAAGCCAGTGAGGAAAATAGACCTTTGTTACTAGACATGAGTGCTCTGTGCCTTACAAACAAACAAATGTATCCCTCCTAAAAATAAATAAATACATAAATAAAGAGAAAAGGAAAGGGAAAAAACACCGCAGCTTAAATGATAGGTTTTATAAATGTTCTGCTGTTTTACAGTTTTTCAGTTGAAACCACAGTTTCCTTTTTCTTCTTTCTACTTTTATACACACAGCCTAGAAGATGGACGTTTGGCAAGCCATAATAGACTGCTCCTTTCCCAGGTATCTCCTGCTTGTTTCCTTTATCTGTGAATAGGAAATGGCTTAAAGGCACCTGTGTGATGAAGGTCCCAGGGGCAGCTGCCTGACTACTGAATGCCTGATTATGTGTTAACATGCTTTGTCAGATATTGGCAGAATCTGTTCTCTTCTTTTGCCTTTTCAGCAAGGGTACCATTGACAGCCTGGCTACCCATTTATAGAAATGTTGTCCATCAAACTGTGAGGAAGGACAATAGTGTTTTTCTGTGGCCAGTGACTGTGGGAAACTTTTCTTTGGCTATTCAGGCAATTTTTGTAGCTTGCTCTGAAGAGGAGAGACTGATGAGTGCAAAAAGTACAATTAAGCAAAGCCAGACTTCAATTGAAGGCTCTAGTGTAGTCTGCTGTTCTCATTTTTTTTTTTTTTTTTTTTATTTAGAGGGGGGAAAACCCTATGGGTTTTCACGTTGCTGTGTGGCATTCAGCAGGGGGCTATTACAATCCTAAATTTTTTTTCTAGACCACCTAATTCTAAGTTAAAATTAAATGTAATGAGAGCCACTTGGAGTTCTGAATATTTTAAAGCATAATTCCCACAGAAGGGATTCGACCTAAACTGCAGTGAGCATCAGTTGGCTAATTATAGCTGCATTTTATATTACAGCAGGTGTCAGATGCAGTCATCTCAATAAAGTCCACATAATACTCGGGAAATAACAAAGACTTTTCTTTGAATGTGGGTACTAATTTCTGCTAGGTGTCATATGAGCCTTGATACTTCTTATTGGCATTAACAAGAGCACTGCAGCACTCAGAAATGCTTTTTGCTTGGGATGAATTGATACTGTAAAGCACTTACCAGTCAGACTTGGCAGATGTCAGTAGTTAATACTAATGTTGCAGAGGTCGGAATATAATGCAAAGAGTCTTATGTAAATACTCTTAGATGATGGGCTGGTTTTGAGAAGGCGCCTGAGCACTGCACCAACTCACTTAATGAAAGTTAAATAGATAGCAGTGGGGTATCTGCTTTTACTTTGGCTCCTGCTTTATTGCAAGTCCTCCAGAAGTGAAGGGCAGATGGTAAGGCAGTAAACTAGGTGAACAAAATACAATGGACTTGTATAAGGACTTGTTATGTTCACAGCACTTTCCTTGAACTTGTGTGGGTGATTTAAATGACTAAAGTTATAGGTCAAAAGCATGCCTGAAGATAAGGGCTCCTGTGCATATCCCACAGATAAAAAAATAAATAAATTTAAGTTAGAAAATGTCTGCAGTTGAAATGCAGGTAGACAATGGATGAGGCAAGACAAAAGTCACTTTAAAATCATGACAATTGTTCCACACTGCTCCATACTTTTAGGAGTTTCACAATTTGTCTAACCTATTATAGTACATTGGATCACAGCAAATGAGACCAAAACAGAAGACCTATTAAAATCTTATTACAAAATACCGACTGAGATAAGACAAATGTGAACTTTATACACATTCCATTCTGGGATCAACACTTTTAAATCTAATTCAGAGCTAACAAAGCAAAGGCAGTTGTCCCTAATTATATCTCCCAAAACAGCATCAGGTCTCATTTTGGCAGGTTACAGTTTATATACATCTCATAGCAGATTCTGTAGGGTGCTATCAGCAATTAGGCAGGAATTACCTTCAGGAATTTAATAATCATTTAACATTGGTTCATTTAGCATGAATGAACACTGGTAGGAGCAAAGGACTGGTAAGGCCCAGAAATAAAATCTAAGGTAGAAAAGAAGACACATTGTCCCCAGAGTGCTGACCATCAGTGCACAAAAACAATGTCCTTTATTAGCTGTTTTGCACATTTCTGTTAATTTTTGTTCAGAACATATATGTTCATGGATTTTGATAAGATCCAAGACAAAATTGTGAAATAGTATGACAAGTTGCAGAGAAATCACTACAAAGGAGAACAAGTAATCTGCTAATGGAAATTGTTTCCTTATAATCCTCAGTAATGTTCTAGTGTTTTTAATACTTAGGCCTCAATTGTGAATAATAATTTTGTTTACTATTCTTATATAAATGTAATGTTTATTATAGAAAATTTAGAAAACACATATAAGATACAGAAAAGAATATAATCCATAATTCTGTAGAGAGTCAAATAACATTAATGTTTTGGTTAGTTTCATGTTTACTTTTCATTTTTAATTTATAAACATATAAAATATATATGTATTTTTTTAAGTTTATTTATATTTATTTTGAGAGAGAGAGTGAGCACAGGCACAGAAGGGGCAGAAAGAGAGGAAAAGAAAGAGAATCTCAAGCAGGCTACGCATTGTCAGCATGGAGCCTGATGAGGGGCTTGATCTTATGAACTGTGAGATCATGACCTGAATTGGAATCAAGAGTTGGACACTCAACTGACTGAGCCACCCAGGTGTCCCTATAACTGTCTTTTAAAATAAGCCTTATGATATGTTAAGAATACCTTTTTATACTACTGTATATTCTTTCACAGCACAATTTTTACTGATTACATAATATTCTAGTGCATGGATGTACAATACTTTCTTTTAAAATTTGCTGTTGCTGTACATTTAGATTATTTCCAATCTTTGTTTTAACTCTGTTTTGTCCAACGTAAGTATTATTACCACAGCTTTCTTTTCACAGACATTTGCATGAAAAATGCTTCTCCATCTGGTCACTTGCAATCTGCATGTGTCTTTATGTCTAAAATGAGTCTCTTGTAGGCAGCATATAGATAGGTCTCATTTTTTTATCCACTCCATTACCCTGTGTCTTTTGATTGGAGCTTTTAGTCCATTTACATCCAAAGCAATTATTGATAGATATGTATTTTGTTACTTGTTAAATGGTTGTGTTTGTCGTTTTTCTCCATTCCTTTCTTCTCTTGCTCTCTTCTTTCATGATTTGTTGGCTTTCCTTAGTGATATACTTGAATCTCTATTACTGGTTTTTGATTTGTGGTTACCATTAGGTTTGTACATAAAATTTTCTGCATATAGCAGTCTGTATTAAGTTGATGGTCACTTAAGTTCAAACCCTTCTTTATTCCTTTCCTCCCCATGTTTTAAATATATGGTATCATACTATGCATCCTTTTATTTTATTTTTTTTTAATTTTTTTTTTAATGTTTTATTTATTTCTAGGAGAGAGAGAGAGAGAGAGACAGCGTGAGCAGGGAGGGCCAGAGAGAGAGGGAGTCACAGACTGAAACAGGCTCCAGGCTCTGAGCTGGCAGCCAGCACAGAGCCCGACGCGGGGCTCGAACCCACGAACCACGAGATCATGACCTAAGCGAAAGTCGGACGCTTAACCGACTAAGCCACCCAGGCGCCCCTGCATCCTTTTATTTTCTGAGTCCTTTGAATGATTTTTACAGGTATACTTATTTTTACTGCTTTTGTGCTTCCTACATTTCTTACTGTTACTTACGGTCTTTCCTTTCCACCCAGATGTCCTTTAAACATTTCTAATAGGGCTGGTTTAGTGGTCATGAATTCCTTTAACTTTTGTTTGTCTGGCAAACTCTTTATCTCTACTTCTATTCTGAATGATAACCTTGCTGGATATATACATCTATATAGCAAATGTTATTATGCTTGATGGTGTCACTGAGTTCCTTAAGTCTATTCTCATTTTCCATAATTTTTTTTTCTCTCATCTCCTCAGCTTGATTACTTTCCATTAGTCTTTTCTCAGGTCACTAATTCATTCTTCTGATTCTTCTAGTCTGATATTTATTTCCTCTAGCGCATTTTTAAGTTCTTCATCTCTGGTTCTTTTTTATCTCATTGTTAAGGATCTCACTGCTGTCCTCCACTCTTTTTTCAAGTTCACTGAGATCTTTATGATCATTACTTATATTCTCATTCAAGCATATCTACATTTTACTTAGGTCTCTTGCTATGCTTTTGTCCTGTACTTTCATTTGGGACGTATTCCTCTCCTTATGTTATCTAACTCTTTGTGTCCATTTTTGTGTGTTAGGAAAAATAGCCACATCTCCTATACTTGAAAGTAATGGCTTTATGAAGAGGTTCCATAGTGCCTACCATGCATGTTCACCAGAACCTGGCACTTCAGGGACATCTCCTATGTATGATGTGTGTGCCCTGCTGTTGTGGCTGACCTGGTTTTTCCTTCAGTCTAGTTGTCTGCAGTGGCTCTCTTTGTCTGTTGTGGGCAGGGTTTAGGTCCCTCTGGTATTAGTGAGCCAGTCTGGGGATGCCTTGGGCTTGAATTGAGTCAGACCAGATGTTTTCCAAAGATTCAGTAGCATCAAACTGCAGGTGCTTCCTCTGTGTTGTCTCCTGAGAAGCTTTTGTTGGTGGGTGGTTCCTGCAGTCAGACCAGTTGTTTGCCTCGAGCCTACTGCTAGGGCCTTCATCTGACTGGTATGTGTGGTTATCTTTTCTTCTGTCTGGAGCAGGAGTCACTTTGGAGTGGTGCTAGCCACTGTAGGGGCTGCTTGCACATTGCCAGGCATGTGGCACTGCCCTGTGTGGGTTCTGGCCAAGAATGTATTGGAAAGGGTTAGATCCATGGAAGCACAGTGTTGGGGGGTAGGTGGGCGCAAGACAACAGGATGGCAACTCTAGCAAACTTTGCCTGCCCAGGTCCTCTGTGGGAGGGGCCCTGCGGTGCCTGGACTGAAGTGGACTATCCATGGAGTGGATTGGTTGAAGCACCACTGTGGGGAGAAAGGGACTGGGTGGCAGTGCTAACAAGTTAGGTAGTGAGTCCCTCTGTAGCTGTGTGTTTATGCTGGGGGGGATGGGAGGAAAATGGTGCCTGCCAGCTCCTTTGTTCCTAGAGGAATTCCCTAGCGATTTCTGTCCCTCTGGGATATGCTCTAAGATTAGTAAATAACTCTCCCTTTCATATGCTCCAGGTGCCTTTCAAACTACTGCTTCTATGCTCTGTTTCCATGGGTTGCTTGTTGTACTATCTTTTTAAGGATGAGGACTCCATTTCCTCTTACCCACTGGCTTTCCCAGAACTGATC